TCAGCAAGCTATTCCAGCTATGACACTTTGAAAAGATAAATGTAATTTTTCAGAACGAATCGGTTCGCGAAAAATTAAAATTTTCCAAGCAAGCTGTTCAAGTTCAAATACCTCAATTTATTCCATAGACCAATTCGCTTCCCAAAAATTTTTGAGTTTTTCTACGCAAGCTAGAGGCAATGAAGGTTAAAAATATTTCAAGTCAGTTCTTAGCGCAAATCAAATCGCCAGTCAGTTTTTCTAAACTTGGAGATGCTGTTTTAAGTTGCTTGGGTTCCGACTGAAAAGAATATGCTAACGCAGTTTTTTTTGATAGTTTCTAAAATGAATCGAGTTTATTTTGATTTTTGAATTGCACTTTTTCAAAAAGAGTTCTAGAATATTCCAAACTTCAGAATACTCGATGATCGTTGTGAATGATTCTTAGACCTTCTGATCTAAACTTTTTTAAAAAACGTAGCGCTCGAAAGCATCTTAAACATTACGCCTGATGCAAAATTGATGTAATTTATTATTTGAGAACGTTCAAAAAATCTGAAGCGTCGAATTGATTTTGACTGAAAACTTCTTAAACGTAATATTTCTTAAATGTTGAGCTCAATGATTGCTCTTATACATTGAGCCTTATGGCAGCTAAAACATCGCAAATTGTTTATGTCATTCGTTTAATGTATATGATAATTTGGAACCTAATGAACTGAAGGCATCAAAACTAACTTTGCGTGTAAAAATCTGGCAAACATAAATCCACAGTATGTATGAAATATGCATTTCAAACAAATTGCGAGATACATTTCGAGTTAAAAAAATTTCTGACATCGAGTTATTATGATTGTTTTGTTGCTTGAAAAAATAACTTTTTTCAGTTCATTTGAAGAATTAACACACAGTCGAAGCTGCGCTTTGCAAACACTAGCGAGAACATGACAAAAATCAGCTCTATAAAGTGCAAAAACAAATAGCAGAAATAAGCCTCAAATTAGTTTTAAAAAAATTTCAGCTAGGTCTGGGATTCAATCTGCGACCAACGGCGACTTAGAAATTAAGAGACTCCTGCACTAACCACTCAGCCACGGAGGCTTAACTAATCACAAACACTGGCCTCAAATCAAGCAGAGATAGCGTTACAAACATCCTAAATGTAAGTTGGATGGACGGATGTTTAGCTGGTTGTAAGGATGGCTCAATGAATGTTTGAATCTTTGGCTGGATGATTGAAAGAGTGGATCCAAGGCACGATGGATAGCTAGATGGACACATGGATGGCTATATAGATGCATCGCTAGACTACTAGTTGAATGAATGGTTAGAGGGAAGGATGGCTTGAGTAATTGCTGGATCGAAGACTGACTGGTTGGATATATGGATAGCTTGACGGATGGATGGCTGAACTGGTGGCTAGATGGAGATATGCTTCGTTGACTGGAGAGATTGCTAGATCGACAATTGACGGCAGCATGGATGCCTGATGGGATGTATGAATGGCTAGATGGATGGATGTGGGAAGGATAAGTATCGAGACGGATGGATGTCTAGATCGACGATGAACTGCTGGATAGAGAACAGGCTGAATCTGTAGATGGCCTGCCAGATGATTGATGGCTGGCTGAGATAGGTGGATCGTTGGATGGGTAAATAGATAGCAGGATTGATGGAGGTCTAAAATGACAGATCGAAGACTGGTTGACTGGATGGATGGAAGGCAGGATCGATTGCGTTACAAACATCCTAAAAGTAAGTTGGATGGACGGATGTTTAGCTGGTTGTAAGGATGGCTCAATGGATGTTTGAATCGTTGGCTGGATGATTGAAAGAGTGGACCCAAGGCACGATGGATAGCTAGATGGACACATGGATGGCTATATAGATGCATCGCTAGACTACTAGTTGAATGAATGGTTGGAGGGAAGGATGGCTTGAGTAATTGCTGGATCGAAGACTGAATGGTTGGATATATGGATAGCTTGACGGATGGATGGCTGAACTTGTGGCTAGATGGAGATATGCTTCGTTGACTGGAGAGATTGCTAGATCGACAATTGACGGCTGCATGGATGCCTGATGGGATGTATGAATGGCTAGATGGATGGATGTGGGAAGGATAGGTATCGAGACGGATGGATTTCTAGATCGACGATGAACTGCTGGATAGAGAACAGGCTGAATCTGTGGATGGCCTGCCGGATGATTGATGGCTGGCTGAGATAGGTGGATCGTTGGATGGGTAAATAGATAGCAGGATTGATGGAGGTCTAAAATGACAGATCGAAGACTGGTTGACTGGATGGATGGAAGGCAGGATCGATTGCGTTACAAACATCCTAAAAGTAAGTTGGATGGACGGATGTTTAGCTGGTTGTAAGGATGGCTCAATGGATGTTTGAATCGTTGGCTGGATGATTGAAAGAGTGGACCCAAGGCACGATGGATAGCTAGATGGACACATTGATGGCTATATAGATGCATCGCTAGACTACTAGTTGAATGAATGGTTGGAGGGAAGGATGGCTTGAGTAATTGCTGGATCGAAGACTGAATGGTTGGATATATAGATAGCTTGACGGATGGATGGCTGAACTTGTGGCTAGATGCAGATATGCTTCGTTGACTGGAGAGATTGCTAGATCGACAATTGACGGCTGCATGGATGCCTGATGGGATGTATGAATGGCTAGATGGATGGATGTGGGAAGGATAGGTATCGAGACGGATGGATTTCTAGATCGACGATGAACTGCTGGATAGAGAACAGGCTGAATCTGTGGATGGCCTGCCGGATGATTGATGGCTGGCTGAGATAGGTGGATCGTTGGATGGGTAAATAGATAGCAGGATTGATGGAGGTCTAAAATGACAGATCGAAGACTGGTTGACTGGATGGATGGAAGGCAGGATGGATTGCTGGTTGGATGAAGAGACAGCAAGATGAATGAATGGCTGGCTAGATTCATCAATCGATGACGAGATATAAGGTGGCTTAGTGCATGCATAAATAGCTGGTTGGATTGATACATGAGATTATTGAGAGGGGCCAGACAGTCAAAGGGAAGCGGCATGCATGGATGGCGGTGTACATGAACGAATAGATGGCTGATTGAATGGACTACTGGTTAGAGTGATGGATTGCTTAAGTAGTGGCTGAATAGATGGATGGTTGGCTCTGTGGATGACTGGTTGGTGCGATGGCTAGATAGAAGGCTGACTGGATAGATGGCTGGCTAGATATGGAGGAACGGCTGGTTTGATGGATGTCTGGTTGAATGAAGGGCTGGTTGGATGAACTGCTAGATGAATGGATGGATCGTTCGATGGCTGAAAGTTTTTGGGTTCTGAAAAGTCATTAAAAAAACACCATATCTCGGAGTATAGGGGCACTGCGCAGTCATTTTTAGAGAATAGACTTGTTACCTATTGAGAGTATCATTACAACACCAATTATAGGATTCGGAAACTCAATTTTCGTCAAGTGTTTTAAACTTAAGATTTTACGCCAAAAAAAACTTCAAAAAAAACCATGAAAATGTCATATCTCGAAAACTAAAAACCTTTCAGCAGCCATATTTGGAGGAAAAAATTGCAACCCCTGAGAGTACCCTGACAGAACCACACTTAAGGGTTCGGATTTTCAATTTTTCTAAACATATTTAAAAAAAAAACGGCATATCTCGGTAACCAAAAAAATTAAGTTTTCATAATAGTGTGCCAACTTTGCATACTAGGTGACAATCATTATCCACACCATCAAACTACTACTTTTAATGCGGTTTTTGTCCATTCCCTGTCAGCGGGGTTGGACATTCGGAAAGCGCGTGAGCAATGGTTCAGATGAGTGTATTCCGAATAGCAGTCAAGTTATTAAATGGAGGATAACACATTTTTTTCTGCCATTCGATCAAGCCAGTCCGTGTAAAGTATTCAGGTCTCGCTTAACACAATCGATCCAGCGTTTTTTAGGTCTTCCTGCTGGTGTTTTTCCTGGCAAAGAAACATGGCCTGTTGATTTTAGCGCATGGTCATTTTCTCTTCGGTGCCGCGACCATACCATCGTAACCGCGACCGCACTTGTAGCTTGTTCAGATCAACAAGACCTGAGCTTGTTCACATCAACAAGCACCCCACCAAGGGTAACTAACTTCAAACTTCCTGGTAACTAACTTCAAAGCTAGGAAATTCCTAAGCATTGCAACGAAAAACGCCAGGTACATCATCATAAAGTATAGATGGATGAATACAACCTTTATATTACACTACACTACCCTGCCCTCCGCATTGCTACATACGATACATGAAGCATTGTAACATACAAAGCATTGCAGCATACGATATAGCTTAAACGTGCAAAAATGCCTTCGTTAAAGCGTTAAAGATTTAAAAAAGCTGAAGCATGGGGAGATAGCTGTCACTTGAATTAGATAGATAGATAGATAGATAGATAGATAGACAGATAGATGGATAGAACAGATAAATATTAAATTAAATAATCGCATTTGTGCCCTAGACCCGTTTTAAGATCCAACGGCGCCTAATATAGTATAGAAGTATAGATAGATATTTAGATAGATACAGATAATTTCAGATCCAACGTCGCCAACACAATTAATCACAAAAAAACCGAAGCATAAACCACCAAAAATTTATGGCAAAAATAGATAAGCCAGCCAAAATTTACGCATTTGAACGATAGTTTGCATGACTTTTGCAATTGTTACATAACTATTACATTTTCCTGCTGTTTTATATGGTTGCTGGTTTATACTTTGGCTAATTGATATACCACCAGATGAACTTGCCATATCCCCATATCTTACATGTACCGAACAGGTAGGGGCACTAATTACATGAGTAAGACAACAAAAAACTTATAATTATATTTCTGGTGGTGGTGATGGTGTTGTTATAACTATTTCCGAGAATTTTCACGAGGGTTCGATTACAGAAGCTGCGGTTTTCCTCCCCACCTTTTGTTTTGTTTGATAGGCTAGGAAACTATTTTTACTCACATTTGATTTTTTAGATCCGTCGTCCAAATATCCACATCCTTCAGTGAACAGTTTTCAACTAAAACAAAAAAACACTAGATTTAAAGAGTTGTTTTACGTGTGCATATTTCCATAGCTATTTTACGTGTGCATATGGCAAAACGCGTCATGTTATGATCAAAAGTACGAAGAGCAGTACTGTTCATCAATTTTAGTTTGTTCACCTGGCCCAATTTCACCGCATTATCACAAAGTTGTAATACTTGTCAAAAACAAAAATCAAATGTGAGAAGAAAAACAAAGATGTCTGTTTTTGTTCATTGTGCCGCTCACCGAAGTTGAAACAAAGCCATATCCACCATGGCAAAACACTATATGACACATCCAAAAAATCCAAATGTTATCTAAACAAATAATTGATTAAACCTAGCGAAGAACCAGAAATTAAATTGAAATATCGCTCGATAATTGTCCCAAATTGACCAAATTGGCAATCTTTAAACCCCCATAACTTCGCAAAAAATGATCAAGATAATCACAATTTGAAATCAAGACACCAATACCTTTCGAATGATATAAAAAATTCCATCAAAATATGCTAAAGTCGAAATTTGTCTGACTACCCCACCCGAGCACAAATATTCCGTCATTTTCTTCAAAAATAGTCAAAACAATTACTAAGCAAAAAAATACATCGATTTTATGAAAATAACACAATTGAACTCTTTGGATGATTAGTCCGAATAAATCTCTGGTCATTTGGCCCACAAACTCTATCTTTTTTGAAGTTTAACCGGAAATATCTGCCACATTGGACCAGCCTTGCTAGCCCGATTTGAGCAGTGCTACAAATCGACCTCTTTACCGTGACTTTCAAGGCCCGCTATGCATCCTGACATGCAAAGACTTTGCCCATTTCATGCACACAACAATTTGAAGACAAATGAAGTCAAGTTACTGAAATGGACAAAACGACTTTTAGAAAGAAAAACTTGAAAACTGAAACACTATTTATAGAAACGCAACTTAAAAAAAGAAAACTGATATTTGAAATGTCACCGTAGTCAACACTTCTTAGATTACAAGACGTCTTAAGGGAACAACCCCAGTACAAACGACCTTCTTTGCTCTACAGTTTACATGTTTCTCCCCAGCCAGGAAGGATTTTTTGCAATCGCAAATAAAGAAAGTTCGGGTTCTTTTGGTACCTGGTTTAAGCTTGTAATTTTGTCCTTTATACAAAATTTTATACTACTCTAACGTAGTACACAAAATTTACGTCCTCTGTACGTAAAGTGATTTTATTCTCCATTCATTCTAGAAATCAGAGAAACTTATACACATTTATCTGAGTACGATTTATGATAATTGTTTCTAATCTCATGAATTCCTCTTAAAAATTACTTGTTTGCATTCTCTACTCGCTCTCTGGTTTGGAGATTTAAGGTATAGCATCAAAAAGAGTTAACAGACCAGCATACCAACCAAAATTCCAGTCCTTCCAATCCCAATCCCACCCTGACGATCACTTCAGCAAGTAGCGCGCCGGCATCTGCAGCCACATCTTCCGAATCAACTACAGCTTTGACGACATCAACAGTTTTCATTCCAGCAACAACTCTGGCACCAGCCGCAACCTCTGCATCTACAACAGCCCTCAGCTGTACACAGCACTATCAACCAGCTGATAGGACTTCATTTCAGACGACAGCAATCAATCCACAGAACAGTTTCGAAACCCCAACCACATTGACGACGCAAAACGCAGCGCAACCGATATATGCTTCACCAGCAAAGCATCATCAACAGACTCAATCAGCAGCGACGTTTAGCCAGACTTCCCAGTTACCAAAAATCCAAATGGAAAATTTGACGGTGACCTATTGAAATGGAGCATGTGATTTGGACTTTTTCAGGCCACAATGCACAATCAACCGATTTCTGATGCCGAAAAACTGACCCACTTCCAGACTTTGACCAAAAGAAAAGCAAATTAACCAATCGCTGGATTTTGCCTGCAACAGAGCGATGTTTGCAAAAGCCCTACAGGAACTTCAGAAAAGATTCGGACGACCTGACATCATTGTGAATAATCTCATCAGACGACTACAAAGTTCAGACGACACATCAAAAGGACTCACCCATGGAGTTTTCTTCTTTCGTTAGCAACCTTGCTGAAACCTTCCAGACTCTTGGATTTGCAAATGACCTCAACTCGACAATTTATGTACAATTTGCGGTCAACAGGCTACCCATTACTTTGCAAAAAAAATCACATGTAAAACATCTTTTAAAATTTGAGCTCAGGGAAAAAAAATGCTAGCTAAAAACCGAAAATTGTCTGGAGAAAAAAACATCACGAGCACAAATATTCCATCATCTAGGGTAATCACAAAATTATATCAAATAGTACAAAAATTAATTACCTAAGTTTTAAAAAACAAATTTTATTAGTTGTTTGTGGGAGGAATCGTTTGATACTCTATTACTCTAAAGCGGCTGAACCAAAAAATATATAATTTCCAGTCAGTGGCATAATCATCCTGTGCTAGACATAGTCTCAAACTCGATCAACAAGCAAAAGATAGAGGGCACTGACTCTCACATTTCCTTCGATAATTGTTTCCATTATAGGGTTAAAACTCAACACACGCATCATTATCGACAAACCTGACTTATTTTCACTGTGGATTAATGCCTTCTAAAATCGACGATACTAGAGCTTTCTTATGTAATAACTAGCAAGCACGTCCACGTCTCCACTAATCAATCGGCTCGCAAAAAAATAGTAGTTGTTCTGATCAAGCTATTCAAGCAAGAAATCATCGAACAATTTCAAGTTAAGCCAATTCGTAAATCGGTTTGCGAAAGTTTAGGTTTTTTAAGCAAGCTATTCCAGCGATGAAACTTTGAAATCTTTATTTCATAGACTGAATGGGTTCGCGAAAAAGAAAGTTTTTCAGCAAGCTATTCCAGCTATGAAACTGAGATATTTCAAGTTGTTTCATAGACCGAAGCAGTTCGCACAAAACTGAAGTTTTTCTAAGCAAGCTGTTCAAGCAATTGAAAAAAGAAATGCTTCACTTTTTTTCTATTCGAGCCATTCAACCGAAGAAATTATGAAATTTTTCAAAGTATTTTTAGACCGACACAGTTCACAAAAAAATTCAAGTTTTCTTAAGAAAGCTGTTCAAGCTGTGAACCTTTGAAATAAATGAAGCTAATTTAAGGACCCAAATGGATAGCGAAAACTTAAGAATTTTTCTATTGGAGCCATTCAACCGAAGAAATATTGGAACATTTGAATTTATTTCTTAGACCGAATCGATACGCGGAAATTCAAGTTTTTCTAAGCAACCTATTCGAGCTACGAACATTCAAAATGAAGCAAAACGGATGACAAAAAAAATGTTTTTCCATTGGAGCCATTCAAGTGATGAAACTTTGAATTGATTCAACTTATTTCCTAGATCGAACTGATCCGCAGAAAGTCCGTTTTCCTATGCAAGTTAATAAGCGAAAACTTTGAAAAAAAATTTCAAAACTTTATAGAGCGAATCAATCCGCGAAAAACCAAATTTGATTAGAGCAAGCAATTCAAGCTATGAAACTGTGAAAACTTCAAATTAATTCATGGCGTGCATCGGATGGCGTAAAGTGTTTTCATTCAAGCGATGATTTTTTAGATCGAATCGTTTTGCGACAAATTTATTTTTTCCTATGCAAGCTATTTAAGCTCATCATGTTCAAAAGAGCAAATCAGTTCACAAAATTTCAAATTTTACGACAGCAGCCTATTGCAGCAATGAAAATTTGAAAAATTCAAGCTGTTTTTAGACCAAAAAGTTTTGAGAAAAAGTTGTGTTTCTAAGCAAGCTGATCGAGCGACGAAATTTTGAAATATTTAGGTTGTTCTATAGAGCGAATCAGTTCGCAAAAAGTTCAAGTTTTTCTTACGCAAGTTATTGAAGCTAAAAAAAATCGAAATAATTGAAGTTGTTTCTTAGACCAAAACGTTTTGCGAATAGTTAGTTTTTCTAAGCGAGCTAATCGAGCGATGAACTTCGAAATAATGCAAGTTGTTGTTTGTGACTAGAAAAAATCGTTTTGCGGAAAGTGAAAAATTCCTATGCAAGCTATTTGAGCTATGAAAATAGAAAATGTTCATATTATTTCAATAAAGCGAATCGTTTTCGAAAAGTTAAGTTTTTTAAGCAAGCTATTCCAGCTATGAAACTTTAATAAAATTCCCGTATTTTCATTAAGCGAAACGGATGGCAAAAAAAAATAGTGTTTTCAAGTAAATAATCCAGCTATGAAACTTGGAAATATTTCAAGTGAATTTATAGCGCAAAGCGGTTTGCCAAAAAAAAAATAGTTTTTCTAAGCATAAAGCTTGCTGCTTCAGTTGATTCTTTTCAGAATAAAATGAACATGTAAACAAAAAATGTTGGACAAACAAAGAAGAAAAATCTGTAGCATGCAAGTCAGGGTCGAAAAGTTTCAAAAAGTCAATTAATTCACGAGAAGAAGAGCAAACAATGTTTCATAACTGGAGATTCTTCTGCAGGTCATTTCCATAGGAAGATTAAAATTTGTTTCATTTTAACTTCAAGCTAAGGCCACTCTAGAAACTGATGTTGTTGAAACCTCATAGAAAACTGAAAGAGGAAACTTGCTGAAATTGAAATTGGCAGAAAACTTTTGACACAGAGGCGAAGTTGCACTTTGAGTTGCACCTTCGCCTCTGTGTCAAAGTTACACTTTGAGTCTACAAAAGTTCTTAAGTGATGCATGCCAGTTATGAGTCTAAATAATTGCTAAGTGATACAAGACAATTAAGATGTAGTAGCAGTACCAGTCAATTTGAAAAGAACTTTACCAACTAACATGCCTCAATTTACAGAGAGGACGCATTTTAACTAGTATACGAAAAAGTTCATTAAAAACATCCGCCGCTGCCCAGGTTGGAAGCCTCTTATTTTGCTGCTGGTATTCTTCCCTACCTCTACGCAACAGAACCATGATACCTTGAAGCTAAAGTGCTATTTGTAATATAATAATCTGTGTTAATATCCT